TCCTCCCTGACAGGGTCGCCTGACCCAGGAGAATTTCAAAGGAAACATTACTATGTTTGCCCAGCTGTCTCTACCCCATCCTGCACCAGTCAAAATGAATTCTGGTGTCCTTCCTGGAGATGTAAAATGTGGGCCCCCTCTTGGAATGTTGACAAGGACCCCTTTATAACAATATCAGCTTCTGTTAATAGTTCTTGCCCCAAACTCATATTCTGTGACCCTATTATAATCCAAGTTAAAGGAAGGGATGCTGCACACCCACAAGCTTATAGCTCCTGCGACTTGGGAAGATCTTAGGGATTTAGGTTATCTGAGTCTGGTAATGACCATGGAATGGCATTTACTATACAGTGATCACAAGTTAGGATTCTGGTCCTCCCCATAGGACCTTTTTACATGACCTCCTTTGGCCTCTCTGGTTCCCACTCACGTCCTTGCAACTTAGCTCCAAACTACCCAGATAATCCAAAATGCCACCTCACCAGGGAGGAACTCACTTTTTATATGGGCTTAGGTCTTCTGGCCACACAGCCAACTGTAATGCTCAGGACTGTGTCCCTCACCAACAGAACAGCTTGTCCCTGGGAGGCCCCCTAAGCCTAGGTGACCTTCAAGGGCTTGCAACTCAACTGTCCCTTAGACAAAACTACCTATTCATCAATATGACGAATATATGTATACTTTTACATGGTCTTCCAATACTCTTAACTTAAGCAACTCCATCAAATAGTCAATCCAAGGGTCTTGGTATGCCTGTTCCATGGGTTTATACCCCTGTATATCAACTATCTTTTTCACCATAGGAAACTGACCCGAGATCTGTGTCTTAGTACAAATTTTCCCACGAATATATTATTATGATGGCCGAGCTGGCAGGAAACATTTGGACACTTGCCTGGGGCTATGACATAAGTGAGGAATGCCAATCTTCATCCCCATAATGGTGGGAATAGGTATTGTGGGTCAAGCTGCCCAGGGAGCAGCAGCACTAATTATTAGCCAAGTCAGTTACAATAGTTTCTCTGAGGCCATGGAAAAAGACATATTCTGCCTCCAGGCAGTGACCTCATACCTTGAACAACAAGTAGACTCTTTAGCAGAAATGGTCTAACCAAGCAGAAGGGGTCTCGACTTCTAAAACAAGGAAGGCTAAGTGCTGCCTTGGGTAAGTCCTGTTGTTTCTATACTAACCACTTGGGAGTCATTTAAAACATTCTTCAAGAGCTCAAAGGAGTCTCCTCAAAGGGCAAAACGAAAGACAACAATCTTTTTCTTGGTTCCATAAGCTCTTTGATTGGTCCCCTTGGCTAACAATCCTATTGTCCTCTGTTGCTGGATTGTTGTTTATTCTTTTGATACTCTCAATGATCGGTCCATATGTGATTAATGTGTTGATTAGATTTGTAAAATACCACATTTCTTCAATGGAACTCTTGATTCTCCACTCACAGTATGCAACCATTGTTACTTTGCCTGCCTAAAACACCCTGATTGGTCTAATACAGAGGTGAATGGCCAATAGCGAGGCAGGAGAAAGGATAGAGGAGGTTGGTGTGCAGAGAGTATAAACAGGAGAAATCTAAGCTTGGGGGAAGAGGGAGGAGTGAGAAAAGAAGAGGAGAGGAGGACAGCAGGGACCACCCACCCAGCCTGCCACCCAGCCAGCCACCCAGCCAGCCAGCCAGCCAACCAGCCACCCAGCCACCCAGCCAGCCACCCAGCCAGCCAGCCACCCAGCCACCCAGCCACCCAGCCAGCCACCCAGCCAGCCAGCCAGCCAACCAGCCACCCAGCCACCCACCCAGCCAGCCAGCCACCCAGCCAGCCCACCACCCAGCCAGCCAGCCAGCCACCCAGCCAGCCAGCCAGCCACCCAGCCAGCCAGCCAGTCACCCAGCCAGCTAGCCAGCCACCCAGCCAGCCAGCCACCCAGCCAGCCAGCCAGTCAGCCAGCCACAGAGTGAAAGAAGGAAAGAAAAACACTTGGAATCAAGAAAGTTAAAAAGCCCAGAGGCAAAATGTAGTTAAAGAGAAATGGAGTCATTTAAGTTAGAAAAACTGGCTAGAAACAAGCCAAGCTAAGATGGGGCATTTATAAGTAAGAATAAGTCTACAAGTATTTATTTGGTAGTTGGGTGGTGGGCCCCCCAAAGAGAAAAACGAAACAAAACAACTACACTTCTGCTTTGCCTCCTGAATAGCAGGATTATAGACCAATGTTACTATACCTAACCCTAGCTACATTCAACCTTGTTTTCTTCCCTATAAAGTTTTGGAATGATTTGTAAAATTTTGTTGGGATTTTATTTTTATTTATTTTATTTAGTTTCTGTGATACTGGGGATTGAGGCAGGGATTTATATTTGGTAGACAAATGCTGTATCCCTCAACTACATCTATGCCCCGGGAATTTGTGTTGTAATTTTGTAGATGGAGTTTTCTTTGGGCCACCTATAATTATTCAGCCACCCATAAGGCTGCACTTCTGGGTCCTAAAGGCAGGCACATCTGGGCAGACCCTTGGGAACAAAGGGCACGTGTTACCCACGTGCGCGCATGCGTGGTTACCTCCACGTGTAACTCAACTAAATTCCTTGCATGCATGCGTGGGTCGCCCATCATCTGTGTCATCAGCGTGTGACATAGTCACACAAACCTCCTGTGTGCATGTGCAAGGCATGGGTCGCGAACCATCAGCGTGTGACATAGTCATGTCATCCCCCTGTGCAGCATGTGCTAGGCAGCCTTTAAAAGCTGGAGGCGCCATGTTCTCTCTCGGTACATTGTTTTCTCAGTCCTGCATGCACTTCCCTGCTCTAATAAACTCCTAAGTGGGTTTGTTCGCATCTCGTGTTTTCTTCCCACTCGCATCAGATCATTTCACTCCCAGCTCATAAAAAATGACATGGAGACTTCTTATTAATTATGAAAGCTCAACCTATAGCTTAGACTTATCCCACTAGCTCTGATAACTTAAATTAACTCATTTATATTCATCTATGTTTTGCCTCATGGCTTTTTCCCCCTCTCTTTCCCCTTCCTCCTCTAGTTTCCTTTCCTCTGGCATCTCAACAGCACTGCGGATCATCTCCTCTCTTCTCTCTTTGTCCTGAAGTCCTGCCTAATCTCTTCCTGTCTAGCTATTGGACATTCAGCTCTTAATTAAACCAGTCAGAAGGTGACTTTCAAAGAGATATCTTCACAGTGTACAAAACAATTATTCCACAACATAAATTATTGTATTTTAATATTTTAATTTATTTAGGAATATTTCTACTCAAGAATATTATACAACATTCCATTTATTTTGGTTATTTTGCATGTCAAAATTTTGTTAATTTTTCATAAAGGTATGTGAATATTAATTTTTCCTACTTTGCATTTTGTTCCTATTGTAAATAGTCAAAATTTAAAATTGCTTTTTATTTTTTGAGACAGGTTTCACTATGTATCTCTGGCTATCCTGGAACTAGCTCTTGTAGACCAGGCTGTCCTGAAACTCACAGAGATCCACCTGCCTCTGCCTCCCTAGTGCTGGGATTAAAGGTGAGTGCCACCACTGCCCAGCTCTAAAATTACATTTTCTTAGTAGATTTTGCCTTTGTATTGAATACAGTTTCAGGGTTTTTTTTTTAAAGAGTTTATTTCCTTTAGAGCAGTTTGAAATTCATGGAAAGCTGAGAGGGAGGCAGAAAGCAATTCCTGCTGAGTCGTCCCCCTTCTGCTACTATGTATGTACACCATTATCAACATGGCTCCCCACAGTGGCATATTTATTTTATTTTTATTGTTTTGGTTTTTCAAGACAGGGTTTCTCTATGTAGACCCAGCTGTCCTGAAACTCACTCTGTAGCCCAGGCTGGCCTCAAACTCACAGAGATCTGTCTGTCTCTGCCTCCCGAGTGCTGGGACTAAAGGCATACACCACCACCACCTGTTCTTGGCATATTTATGTTAACTGCTAAACCTATATCAGTGTTTTGGCACCAAAAGTCTAAAGCTTGTGTTATCAGTCAGCCACTCGTGGTGTTGTATTTTCTATGAGTATAGACAAATGCATGATGATGGGTCTCTCATCCTGGGATCACACGATGTTTTCACTATCCTGAAGTACTTGCACCCACATGTTCATTCTTCTCTCCCACATGGCCCACAGAAATCATGCTTCTTTTTTCTCATTAACTTTTCCTATAGCTTTTCATTTTCCAGAATAACGTATAGTTGGAATTATATAGTATGTAGCCTTTTAGAATAGCTGGTTTTATTTTTTTAATTTAATAACATACACTTAAGACCCAAGTACCTCAGCCTTTGGTGATGATAAACGGGCTAAAGATGCCTTGGCAAATAAGTAGATATATCTTAAGGTTTGCTTCATTTTTGTTTTATATTTAACAGTGAATTCTTTATAATTATGTAATAAAATGTAAAAAGAATATCCAAAGGTTTAGAAACATGTATCTTGCTCTTTTGACCGTCTTGGCACTGGCAGAAGCCTGCTGGGAACAGGACTTCTAAAAGGCAAATGTGTCTGGAGGGCTGTGGTACAAGGCCGTTCTTTGCTGGCTGTAAGTGAGGTCTCTGGAGCCAAAGAGACCATATAGCTCTTCTTAAAATTGAAGGTGTTTATGGTGGAGATGAAACTGAACTCTACTTGGGCAAGAGTTGTGCACATGTGCATAAAGCAAAAAACCAGCCCAGTGGATCCTGGAGGCAAACCACACTCAGCCAGAGTGATCCAGGAAAGGACACTCAGGTATGGAAACACTGGCATGGCTCATGCCAAATTCGGAAGCCATCTTCTTACAAAGGCCTTTGGACACAGCATCCATGTGATGCTGTACCCTTCCTGGATTTAAACTACTGAAAAGTAAATAAATAAAAGTGGATTTGTGTTAAATTAAAAAAAAGAACAAAGAAGCATATATATTGAAAGTATAGTATTCTAAGTAATGCTTACACCATGTTTATTAAAATGTATTTCATTTTTCTCCCAACAGAAACAATTTTGAAAATTTAACCCAGGTAACTCTTGTCAATTTTGCATATCCATCACATGTCATTACTGCATGTTTTCCATTTATCATTTATATTTCCAGGCGAGGAATTTCCCAAAGTACTTTTGTCATAAATTCTCCATAGAGTAGCAAGGCTCAGAGTGTGTTTTGAAGACCCCTTAGTTGGCCAGGAGGCCTAGTCAAGGAAGGTCAACCATATATTTACACAAGGTGGATTTTTTTCTCCAATATTCTTTTATTAAATAGCAGAAACATTATTCAAGTGTCTTCTGTTGAAACACTGAAGAAAATTGGAAACTATTAGCAAACATTGTCTTGGTTGTTCTTATTTGGTAAAATATGCTCTTTTCACAAAATATATGTTAACATATATTTTATGAATATAATGTAGCATGTATCATGGTTTTATAAATTAGTATTATTTGATGTTCTCAGTTTTATTACATGGTACATTTGATAAGTCTAACCCACAAAATACAAAAGCCTTACAGGACCCAAGTATGATTTGTAATCTAAACAATCAGGAGGAGGATGTAGGGGAATAAGAAATTTGAGGCCAGCTTGAGCTATAAAGCAAGCTCTTGTCTCAAAACAAATTCCATGAAATTATTTAAAGACTGGAGATGTAGCTCATTTGGTAGAGCACTTTCCTGTCTTGCACAAAGCCTTTGGTTCAATCCCCAGCACCATATAACAGCACTGTGTGTGGTTACTAGTCCATGCCTGTGGCCCATGGATCAAAGCTGGTCCATGTCAGCACTCCAGAGACAAAGGTCTAGATTTCTAGGTTATCTTCAGCAATCGATGGGTTCAATCAACCGGTAATCTCAAATGTTATCAAGGATATAGAACAATCAGTTTTGGGCTACCCGGCAAGACCCTATCTAAAACACTATACCCCCAAACAAAGGAGACATAATTACAGTTAGGCAAAATATATAATGCACAAAACTCTTTAATAATGCCTTTTAAATCTAGATTTTTCTGGATTTAACTGAGTTGACCCCAAAGGTGGCAAGGCCAAATTCTACTAAAGAGAGTGGGAAGAAATTTACAAATGTTCTGAAAAGCGCCAGCGGCAGATGGTCTCCTCTGAGTCCTTGCTGCCTTTGCAGAGCAAACGATGCTAATCCTGCCCCAGCAGATCATGACTATCTGATCTCTAGCATCTCTTAATCGATGTGCTGGGCACACAGTAGCAGGCAGGACAAGTCCCTACCCTCATTATTGTGTTGTTACAGCTTGCTTAAAAGCATTATACAAAACTGCTTATTCAGTTTATAAATCCGGTATAATTCTAAAATCTAAAACTTGACACGGTTCCAAAAATTATTGACATCTTTTTGAAAATATGCAAAAAGTTAGCATGAAATATCAACAAGAAGTATCAACAGCAGGCAGTTGCCGTGCAAGCATGGTGACCTGAGCTCCATTCCCAGAACCACTTAGAGGTGGAAAGAGAGAAGCAGCTCCACACAATTGTCCTCTTACCTCCACATATGCACCATGACACAACCACCAACCACATATACACGTGTACACACACGATAATAAATAAAATTTTAAATAGAAGTCTAGAAGACAAAAGGCAATCATATACTATTGTGTATTGGTATTATACACCCCAGGAATCTGTCAGCATTCCCTAGAATAGTATCAAAACAAAGGCTATAAAACATCATCACAGTACTTAGGGACTTATCACTAAGATTTTCCAAAAAAAAAAAAAGACTCCATCCCCATATTTATGACCTAAGAATCACTATAGAAGCAAGTAAGAGAATCATGTCACTCAGCTCATCTCAACAAAACAGCCAAGAAGCAAAGGTCAGACCATCACTATGGCTAGCTGAGGTGCAGCTAAAACCATCACCAGAAGTCCGCAAGAACTTAAATGCCATGAATACATTTAATATAATAATTATCGATAATGCTGTAGTTAATATCTCATGCTGTATACCCATCCCTATGTAGGTGCTGGGAATTAAACCCAAGTCCCTCTGAATAGCTAGTACTCTTAACCGCGGAATCATCGCTTCAACCCCAGTAATGAAAACTTTTGAAATAATTAAGAATTAAAATTAAATTGAGTGGTTTTGCCACAACAACAACAACAACAAAATGAAATTTGTATAAAATATAAGGAAATGCAAATGTTTTGTGTATTTTTAATATTCTTTGATAATTTTATGTGTGCATAAAATGTATTTTGTTTATACTAACCTTTATCCCTCCCCGTAACTACTCCAAGATTCACCCTCTGTTTCCACCCCCTCCCAATTTAGTGTACTCTTCTCTTTTATAACCCACTTAGCCTGATTTGTGCCTCTCATATTTTCTTTTATAGACTGTCACCATATGGGTATACGATCCAGAAAGTTCCAGCAAAGAAGAGTTAGAATGGTACGCGCAGAAACCTTCTCTCGTAAGTACAGACATCATCTTAGGTCAGATCACACAGGCTGCCTGTCTTTTTTGAGGACTGAGTGTAAGCTATGGATACACTTAATGGATAGTCTTCTAAGCTTCCTGAAACCAGCTTAAAACACTGTTATGGCCCCCTTGTTCAGCTTAGTCACTATAGATATCTTGACCTTGCGCTTGAGCTCTACAATTGTAAACTTCTCTAGCCGGGCGGTGGTGGTGCACACCTTTAATCCTAGCACTCGGGAGGCAGAGGCAGACGAATCTCTGAGTTCGAGACCAGCCTGGTCTATAGAGCTAGTTTCAGGATAGCCAAGGTTACTCTAAGAAACCCTGTCTCGAAAAATCCAAACCAAAACAAAAAACAATTGTAAATCTCTCTGTTGAGTATTCTCTTATCGGGGTGAAGAGAGGGTCATTTCTGTGCCTTAATGATGTGCTGTGAATATCTCTATTGAAGGGATGCCTTAAAAACATAGGTAAGGTGGAACACAGCAAATGTGTCAGCCCTTCCTTATATTTGTTACAAATTTACAGTTTTGAAGACTTAAATTTTGTATTCTGTTACAACTAAAGCATACTGAGGAAAATCAATATAGGCTACTACTATTCTCTCAGGAGCCTGTGGCTATCTTAGTGGGGAGCAAGGGAAGCGAGGTGCGGCATGTGTTTGCAGAAGTCGTGTGCGGAGTGGAGACATGCCAGGGTATGTGTGTCGAGGCTGGAAGATAGCTTTATGGAGCCAGCCCTCATCTTCCTTTGTCTGTATTCCAGGGGTTGACAGGCTTACACCACAGCCAACTGAGCCCTCTCAGAAGCCTTCAGAGGTGTATTTTGACTGGCCCCAGTCCCTGGTCATTAACTCGTCCTAATCCTGCCTAAACCAACTCATTGTCCTATTCATATCAGTGGTAAACATTTCATACTGCTGCTTAACTAACCTCCTATTTCATGTCTACAGCCTCGTACTATTTAAAAACATGTTCACATTTGTGTTCTAATTCAGCACTGTATCCACATTAAGATAGAAAAACCACTGTAGAAGAAATATTCTTGTTTCCTTTTGTTTAACAAATAAAAGAGAAATATTAAAATATCCATCTATTTATCTGCCTTTGACATATAGGCACTTCATATGAGGTTTTTATGAAAGAGATTTTAAAATACAAGGCTCACATATTCTTACCTTCCATTCATTTGTTAAAGTTCTTATTTTAGAATGGTTTTATATTTATACAATTATTGCAAAGATAGTTCCCTCTATTATCATCTTATACTTGTAGGTTGGCCACAATTTATTGACAATTTTGAGGGTTCCTGGTCAGTGTTGTGCAGAATGCCAATAAACTGCTATTTATCTGAGATTTTTCTCATAGTGAGACTGGAGGTAGATGTCTCAAAAAGAAATACCCGAAGGTCCAGAGCTATTGCCATCAGATCATGCTGATGGTCTATACTACCAATGTGGCCTGGTAGTGTGTGTGTGTGTGTGTGTGTGTGTGTGTGTGTGTGTGTGCATTGCTTACCACAGCACACATGTGGAGATCAGAAGGCAATTCTCCTTCTACCATGTGTATCCCAGGGATAGAACTCAGCTCATCAGGTTTGGTGGGAAGTGCCTTTAAGCCCTGAGCCATTTCTTGGGTTCACACTCAACTTTCTTAAAGCTGAAGTTTACAGAATTTTTTATAGTTTTTTTCTGTGTTTGGAGACTTATGTGTTACTCTGACTCATTTATTTGATCAATTTTTTTATATCATTACAGATTTATGTACTTATTCCATGGTCTTGGGTTATAACATGACATTGCCTTTTTTCTAGGAGTCATTCATTAGGCTTATGTATCCCTTTTGACATCCTCCTCCTATTGGTTTGATTTGCTCTGATTTTAACCCTTTTCTTCCTATACTCTGGCACTCTACAGTGCTCCAAACCCATCTTGTAGGCTGTATTAAGAATCAAGATTCGTTCGTAAGGGTATGCTCTGGTAATTTGGTGGTTGTGGTGGTTTGAATAGGAATGGCCCCACTGGCTCATGTATTTGAATGCTTAGTCATCAAGGAGTGGCACTACTTGAGAAGGATGAGCAGGTGTAGGTGTGGTCTTGTTGAAGGAAGTATGTCATTAGAGGTGGGCTTTGAGGTTTCAAAAGCCCAAACCAGGCCCAGCAGCTCTCTCTTCCTGCTGCTTATGAATCTAGATGTAGAACTCTCAGCTATTTCTTCAACTTCATAGTTGCCTGCATCCTGCCATGTTCTCCACTGTGATGATAATGAACTAAGCCTCTGAAATTGTAAGGAAGTCCCAACTAAATGCTTTCTTTTGAAGAGAAAGGAGTGTAGGAACCTGAGAGGTCAAGAACAACCCAGGAAGGCTCACACAATTAACTCATCTGTGCTCAGGGGGGCTCACAGAGACTGAATGGACAACTAGGGAGTCTGCCTGGGGCTGACCTAGGCCCTCTGCATTTATGTGACAGTTGTGTAGCTTGGTCCTCTTGCAGGACTCCTAACAGTGGGAACAAGGGCTGTCTCTGCCACTTTTACTGGCTTTTTGGACCCTACTCCTCCTACTGGATTTCCTTGCCCAGTCTTAATACATGGGGAGGTGTTTAGTCTTACTGCAAATTGATATGCCATGTTTTATTGATACTCATGAGAGACTTGCCCTTTCCTGGATGGAAAGGGAAGAGGATAGGATTGGGGGGGGGGGGCGGGGGGGGGGGGAGGGAATGGGGAGAGACCCTGGGAGGGGAGGATGTGGTGGCCAGGTTGTAAATTAAATAAATAAATAAAAAGGAAAAGAGAGACAGAAAGGGAAGGAAGGAAAAAGAAAGGAAGAAAGAGAGAGAGAGAGACAGACAGACAGACAGACAGACAGACAGCAAGCAAGCTGTGGTGGGGAGGAGTTGCTGTGGTCACGACGATGTCTTCTCGCAGCAATAGAACAGTGACCAAGACAGAAGTTGATACTAGGGAGCAGGGTTATGCTGTGACAGGCCCGACCATGTGCTGCTTATTGTCAGAAAGCAGACTTTGGGACTTTGGACTAGAAAAGAAGTTGAATGCTTAAAGCAGGGCTTAGCAGGCCATGCTGGTAGGAGCATGGAAGACGGTGGTGCTGAGAGCAATATAGATTATGACCGCCCAGACCAAGAGATTTCAGAGGAGAAGAATATTTGTAAGTAGCCTAGGGACCATTCCTCTGATATTTTGGTGAAGAATGTAAATGTTTTTTGCCTTTTCTGAAAAATCTACCTGAGGCTAAATTGAAGAGTTTTGGATTAATAGTGTTGGTGGAAGGATTTCAAGACAGCCTTGTATTGACTCTGTCGTTTGCTTATTAGTGGTCACTCTTATGAACACATATAATGAAGAGGAGCAAGCCGTGCAAGGAAAAATGCAAAGTTTGAGGAGAAAAGGGGCACCAGGAAGTGTAATTGATCTAAGTCCAGTGCTCAAGGAGATAAAAAGTTTTTAAAAAGTCAGATGTTAAATGAGAAAAAAAAAATGGGACTGGTGACCTCATGGTGAGACCCCAACCAGCTAAACTTGTAACTTGTGAAAATGAATTAAAGGAAATAAGAAATGAAGGAAATCACTGATAACAGAAAGATGATACAGATGTAACTGAATGGAAAGCCATGTTCTAGCCCTAGCAATCAGCAGAACTTGGCAACCTCAACCATATGATTCTTGATTTCGATTCAAGGATACAGAAAGGTGTTAGAGATTTTCCCTCCATAGCTAAGGAAAGTTGCTAAAACCAGGCTTGTGTCAGGGGTCTCCCTGCATGGAAACCTGGAAAGTGCATTGCATGGAGCCTGGATTGCTTGCCAACCCCAAGATGTTGGAGATACTAGGGCTATGAACCAAAGAAAGCTGCTAACAGGAAGTAGAGCCAGTCAGAGAGAGAGAGAGAGAGAGAGAGAGAGAGAGAGAGAGAGAGGGAGGGGGGGGAGGGAGGGAGGGAGGGAGGGAGGGAGAGAGAGAGGAGAGAGAGAGAGAGAGAAAAGCTTTGCAGTCAGCAAATCTGGAGAAAGTTGGAGCTGTAAAGAGTTCTTGACATCAGATGCAGAGATGTAGAATCTGGAGTTTACCCTGCTAGCTTTCATTCTTGTTTTACCCAAGTATTTCCTCACTATGCTTCTCTTCCTCCCTTTGGCAATGTCTGTCCAGTACCATTGTATGTTAGGAGTATGTGATCTGCCTTTTGATTTTGATTTTACCAGGGTTACTGTTAGATAAGTCTCAGAGGAGACTTTGGACTTTTAAACAGTGTGGAGACTATGGCTGCCTGGGGGCCAGCCTCCAAGGAGCACAGGGCTTGACGGGAGTCCACAGCATCAGCACAAACTAAATTTTTTTTTTATCTGAGGGAGTTAGGGGAAAAGATACACACTCTCTTGATGGTTTCCATCAGACCTTGTCTTTATTCTTATTTTGCATTCTCTATTTCTTCTCTCATCCTTGATGTTTCCCTTCTAGTCCATTTTAAGTGTCTTCTACCCTAACTCTATTCTTTCCCCTACAGCTTATATATCCAGCAAAATCTTTCAGGCAATATAAAAATTACAATTTGGTTACATTCTGTTTTTCAAGTGTATGATTACAACGACTACAAAACAAACAGTAAAACCCAGCATGTTTTCCATATTCCTTATGTGATTAAACATTTTACTATTACAAGTGGAAAACAAATTATGCCGAGAACCACATACATTCACATCCAAGAAACTTGTTGTAGATAACCATGTGGCAAGCAAGCTCTTCTTCTCAGCCATGTCTTTTACTGGCAGGCTACATTTTGCAGTTACAAAGAAAGGGTCAATTACTTTGTTACTTATCTTGAAAGATAATCTTATAAGGAATGACTTTTATATATGAAAAAGAATCAGTCAACTCCACTTTAAATCTTTAGGGTACATACCCACTTGTTATTTGTTTGTTTTTTTTTATATATCAGGAGAGTGAGGGCAGAAACGGTTATAAGGAATTAACCATCACCTTTGATTATCAACCAACCCTAGCAAGTGCGTCAGTTAGTAATAGTTGAGCTGCTTTCTGTTTTTTCACCTCAGCTATGTGTCCTTCTGAACAAGCTATTATCAAAGCATCTGATCTAACCTGAAGTTATTTAAAGTTTTGTCTCTGCTAATGGTGCCCACTGAAACCTGCAACTGAGCCTTTCAGCATTAAGAGAATTTGAGCCATCCTGGCTCCTGGAAAGTCATTTTTTTCCTTAATCATTAACTTTAGCTGTGATCCATGCAGCTCATTAATGAAACCCATAGGCCCTAGCTGCGCAGCATTTCCTTGTATTTATTTTATCCATCAAATTTCCATATAAGCTAGCATTATTATTATCAATTAGACTGTACAACTTAGAAAGGAATCACCTTTTTGACAATCCATATATAAAAATTCCCCATAGAGTGGGATGTCTCCATGAGATAAACACACTACATTACAGGCAGTAGGGCTCTGCCCACATCCATTCACACCATGCCAGACACCAGAGAAAGATAGCAACAGTAAACGTGTAAAGGCACAGCAGAAGCAATAGCATTCCAGGCTCTGTGGTCTCCAGACTCTGCCTGTTCAAGATTGACCTATCAGAGAGTTTCCTCCTGGTGGTCTGACACCTTGAGCTTCCATTGCCACCTGCTGCTCCTCTGGCATGGCCACTGACAGGAGACTGTGAAGGACTCTAGGGACTTTGAAGTTTGACTAAATGCATTTTGTGATTATGATATAGCTATAACCCTATGGGGCCAGGGAGTAGAATGTGATGGTTTGAATAAGAATGGTCCCCATAGGCTCATGTATTTGAATGCTTAGTCATCAGGAAGCGGCACTACTTGAGAAGGATTAAGAGGTGTGGTCTTGTTGGAGTAGGTGTGACCTTGTTGGAGGAAGTATGTCATTGGGGGATGGGCTTTGAAGTTTTAAAAATCCAAGCCAGGCCCAGTGTCACTAATAGAGATGTAGAACTCTCAGTTCCTTCTCCAAAACAATGTCTGTCTGCATCCTGCCATGCTCCTCATGATGATAATGGACTAAACCTCTGAAACTGTAAGTAAGCCCCAAATAAATGCTTTCTTTTATAAGAGTTTCCATGGTCATGGTGTTTCTTCATAGCAACAGAACACTAAGGCAGGAGTGTTGCCCTATCTCACCTGGCAGAACAAACTCAAGTCACTGCACTATACAGCATATGCCCACATGTGTATAAATTTTCTATATATCTATATTATGTTAAGTTAAACATGAGTTCATATTCTCCACCTTAAATATATTACTACATGACTCATTTGATACTCGAGGCTTGCTATCTGCAATTTAGCAATAAGAAATCAGCCTTGAGATGGACAGATTAAGGCTGTTAAGGGTACTGGCTGCTTCCAGAGGGCCTGGGTTTTTTTCCCAGCACCCACATGACAGTTCACAACTATCTAACTCCAGCTTCTGGGGCCAATACCTTCTTCTAGCCTCTGTGGGCACCAGGAATGCATGTGGTACATATAGCCAAAACATTCATGCATATAAAATAAAATACTTTAAAAACAACAACATAAAAAGCCATCCTTTTATTATCTGTTATTCATTTGTTTAATTTTAATATACATTTTATTCAATATTTTAATATGTATTTATTATTGGACTGTCATAACAAAATGCCCTGGCCTGATTAGCTTCAAAACAAAACAAAACACACACACACACACACACACACACACACACACAGATTTATTTTCTACCATTTCCAAGGCTAGATTTCCAAGAGCAAATTTCCAGCAGATTCCATTTCTGGTGATAGCTTTCTCCCTGGCTTGTAGATCGTGCATTGTAGTAGAATTTGATTTGAACAAGATTTGTTCCTTTGTGACTTTCTTCACTTGGCACAAGATCTTCATATATGATCTTTTTTTTTGTCATTTTTGAGACTGAGATGTAGTCCATTGTACCACATACTACGTTTTGTTTGTTCATCAATGACAGTTGGCTTGTTTCTACTTCGGGGCTATTGCAAAATATGCTGGTGATTCTACGTAGTGATATTTTGTTTGTGTTTTAACAAATAAAGCTTGCCTAAAGATTAGCATACATAGCTAAACCACTAGAGGCCAGGCTGTGGTGGCTCACACCTTCAATCCCACAATTTAGGATTCCCATGTCTTTAATCCCAGAACTGAGGAGGAGATAGGAAGGGATATGGAAAGGAATTTAAGAAGAGAGGAGACAAGAACTCACTGCAGTCTGAGGTTTGGTGGAGATAGATGCAATCTGAGGTCAGGATCACCCCTTTGTTTGTCCGAGAATTGGTAGCGGTAAAAGAACTCTCCAGTGACTGGCTGCTCTGCTCCTCTGATCCTTCACCTTTCACTCCCTACTATCTGGCTCCCGGTTTTATTTATTAAGGCCAATTAGAATTTGTGCTACAATTCTGCTTTAAATTCCTTTAGAAACCTGTAGTGTTTCTCACAGTCTTTCATGGCCCTCTACTCCTGGTTCACTAAAGACTCCAGTTCTTCCGTACCCTCGGCGACACTTTGTGGGTTTTGTGGAATCAATCAGTGATGTTTTGCTTTTTGAAATAGCTATCCCCAACATAGGGGAAATCTCACTGTGTGTGCTTTTTGCTTGCTTGTTTTTTTTAGGCATAACCTCAGTAAATAACTCTAGCTGGCCTCAAACTCAGAGATCCACCTGCTTTTTCCTCCTGAGTACGGGGATTAAAAGTGTGTGCCGCATTGCCAACAACATTGTGGTTTGATCTGCCTTTCCATAAAGACTGGTGATGCTGACCATCTCCTCATGTCCCCATTGACCATTTACATAATCTACTTTGGGAAAAGATGTCTTTTTAAGTCTTTGTTCATTTGTGGTCATGTTCTTTCAGAATTACTGGGCATTATTCTGAATATTAATATTCTGTGCCAGATGTGATTAGCAAGTATTTTCTTTCTTCTATGGGCTGTTTTGTTTTTTTTTTTAACTTTACTTTTATTTTTTTGTTTGTTTGTTTGGTTGGTTGGGATTTTTTGTGGGGTTTTTGTTGTTGTTTTGGGGGTTGTTTGGTTGGTTTTTTTTGTTTGTTTGTTTTTTTTTTTTTGGTTTGGTCCAGTTTGGTTTTTTGAAACAGGGTTTCTCTGTGTATTCCTATCTGTCCTGGAACTTGTTCTGTAGACCAGGCAGGTTCCTGTCTCCCTGGTTCTGGGATTAGTGGCATGGACCACCATGCCTAGCTGGTCTTTTCACCTTGCTGAGAGTGTCCTTTGGTACACAGATACTTTGAACTTCGGTGAGGGATGCTTTCCTTTCTATTGACAGCACCCACTTCTCTTACTTACTTTTTATTTTTAAAATTTATGTACATATGTGAGTACAATGTCCATGGAGGCCAGAAGAACGCACTGTGGGGAGAGAGAAGGAATCAAGGTTCTGGGGGCCTTCAGTAGAGCAGGGGAAAGTGATGTGGAAGTGTCAGCATTAATGAAGTCCTTCAGATGGGATGATCACCTCAGTAGAGTGAATGCTGACAGATTTTTATTATTTTTTCTGGGACCACTAAAGTTGGTTAGCAGGTGAAGTTTCTTGCTGCCAAACCTGAATGGCCTGAGTTCAATCCCTGTGACCCAGGTGAGAGGAGAGCAGTGACTCCCTCAGGTTGCCCTGTGACCTCCACATGTGCGCCCTGTGACCTCCACATGTGTGCCCTGTGACCTCCACATGTGCGCCATGGCAATGTGCACCATTACCCACAACAAAAACACAAAATAAAAGAAAATTTAAAACTTAGGTTTCTGTATTTTCAGGATCTCAGCAGTCTTCATTCATGTAGGCTTCTGATAGCACAAAGATGCCTTCAATATATTGGCTCCCGTACCATGGCTTATATTCATTTATAGACTGGAGCAAGCACTGTTCTGCGGAACTGTACCTCTATTCATAAAATTCTTAGAGGGAGGAAGCTAGATGGTTAAAAGAAACAAAAAATCTTGAAAGTTTGTTGAATATATATATATATATGTGTGTGTGTGTGTGTGTGTATGCATAAACAATTTCTTAATTAAAAGAACAAATTTAATACATTATTAAATACATGAAAGTAATTCCAAATACCTTTGGCTATGAAAATAATAAAAGAGAAACTTTATCTGTTTTGTTTTTGTTTTGTTTTTTTTTCAGAATTCCAAAATACTAACCAACTTGTTGAATACCCTGGGGCAATACCCTCACATTGGCACAATAGTGAAGAGGATCACCTATAAATCGAGTGACTTAAGTTCGGAGGGGTATTTAATTTTTTAATTTACCTTTAATTTAAAAATTTGAAACTTTAAACAAGATTTGAAAACATTAGTGGACTTTTATAAAATGTATCTGACATGCGATTTCCAAGGGAAGAATTCCTTTGTGCTACAGAAAAAAATAACTTGTGATCATTTCAGCTGACAATCAACTCAGAAAACACCAGTCAGACTGGTGGACCATGGTGTCACTGTTTAAAAACCTAACCCTCAATCTCAAAGCCTCAAAAGCAGTGACCATGTCCCTAAACGTTCCCAGCTCAGCTGTGATAGTGGACTATGGCAATGTGTGACTATAATAGTCCCTGCCTCCACCACTGCCCTTTAACACACAGCTTCTCTAATACACCTTGTGTCCTCCTCCCCACCAATTCTAACCAGAAAGGCAACATCTGTTAACTAGCGAAGGTACATCACAAGGTACAGACAGGCTTTCTTAACCTCCGGAGCACCTAACCACAGGCAGAGCGGTTGGAACTAAGGGATATAGTTACTGTCTTCAACAAGGGAACCGAGATGCTCCCACGGAAGTGACACACTACCTGACCCAGGCCTGCAGGAGAGGGAGTAGGGAGTACTTTCCTGAAAGTGAAGTGGCCAAATTGGGAGTCTTCTCAGTGTGAGTGAGGGGTGTCAAGTTCCAAGATTTGCAGAAAACTGCAATGAATAGGTAAAGAAGTGTCACTCAGATTTTCAAAGGAGTAAGTCAGAACTCAAATTATTCCTACTTTTATAACACTATGGAAGTGGCGAGGCAGAATCAGCAGTCCCTATAAAACCAAACTGAAGGCCTTCTCCGATGTAGCAGAAGGGCTGGGATTAAAGGTGTGTGCCACCACTGCCTGGCCCTTTCCTATTTTTTAAAAAATATTTATTTATTTATTTATTATGTATACAACATTCTGTCTGTGTGTATGTCTGCAGGCTAGAAGAGGACACCAGACCTCATTGCAGATGGTTGTGAGCCACCATGTGGTTGCTGGGAATTGAACTCAGGACCTTTGGAAGAGCAGACAATGCTCTTAACCACTGAGCCATCTCTCCAACTCCCCTTTCCTATTTTTAACAAGCTTTGTTGAATGATAACTTATATGCCATACAATCCACCGTTTTAAACTATAGTTCACACCCATTCAGTGGTCGGGACATTCCCACTTGCTCACCCAGTGCCACTATTATACGAACATGACTCCTGGTTCAGTCACTCTCAAGTTGGCAAGCATCTTGGCTATGCTTCCCTCAGCTCTCCTGTGTATCATGCTGCTGGGAGCATCTGCATGTCGATTTGCAGCTGCCACCATGCCTTGTTTCTCCTCGACATACAGAAACAGTGCGATTTCTGGGGCTTGTGGTGTCTTCCACATTTGGTTTTTGAGGGATGACTTAAACTATGCAGTTTTAAAGTCACTACCCTTTTCAGATCTCCCTCGGCAGAACATAAAGTTTCCTGTTTCTCTATACCCATTGAATGACACCTGTTATTGTCTTCTTTATATATAGCAACCATAGAAGGACTCATTGATGAAATTACTAAGTGTGGTAGAGTTAACTTCAGAGGTAAGAAGGAAAGGCGTATCTAAGGGATTTGTCTTCATCTGTTATACAAGAAAGCAATAGGTGATGTGTAAAACTGTATGTTAAGAAAGAGGGGCATAGGACTGTTTACTTGGCGTTAGTGAGACATACTGCAGAAAAAAAGAGCATCCAAAGTCAAGAGTATTTTCCTCTCTGAGTGAAGAATAAAAAAATGGAGCCATGGCAGCCTACGTTGATAAAAGCTTAGAATTTTTTTAGATGTATAAACTGTGCATGTTGGATTAGAGAAAGGAGAGATAATTTTTCTTCTCTCTTTTTTCTTTTCTTTTTCGTTTTTCTTTCCTTAGAACCTGGACCGTTACTGTGCCAATGTCCTCAGATGATGTAGTGAAAGAGATAAGAGGAACCACAGTGGCTTTCCAAGATTGCTTCGTTGCCAATCGCAAATTTATTCTGACGCATCCGCTGAGGATATTCACCTTAGGACAAGGAGAGTTACCCCTCACTGTGCCTGCTGGGAAACCAATGCTGACTGCCGCTGGTATCTGTGTTGTTACATATTCTCTCGTGGTCACTGAAGACGAAACCTTCATAACATATGATGCCTTCCTTACCTGGACTAGGATAAGAGTCCCCCCAGGTATTATGACTGATGCTGAAAGGCACAACATCAGTGGTGTGGCCGCATTCGAGGGTGCACTCATTTTTATAACAAATGGATCTCTTTACTTAAAAACTACGAAATCATTTAGAAAACTGGGCATGGAAGACAGTGCTCCTGAAACCGGTGTTCTTGGCATTTCAAGAAGAAAGTGGTGTAAGCTCAGGTATTTATTTAAGGTTAGTGAAAGATGATAAATGTGAGTATGTGTGTTATCTACGCATATTTAGATATATTACTATAATGTTTATTCAGTACTATATCAGGGGCTCTACAAAGCAACTCTCCCAGCCAATAACCCCGTTTACCTTTTAAGACCATACAAGATTCAGCACGTTCAAGCTATATTTGGCTAAAGACAGTTATTTAAAGATCTAAACAACTATATCTCTGAAATTCAAGTTTTCCGAGTTATCTTAGCCATAAAGATGTTATCCCCAGTGGCAAAGAAAAAAATTAATCTTGTATGCTATCATGAAGAGCAATATAGTCACACTGTGAGGACGGAGCCCCCCTGTATATGTTCACCCAAGACCCTGTGTGCTTTCAAATGTTAATCAACCTGCCCACAATAGTATGGAGAATAGATATCAAAGCATTCTCACTACAAAACATAAATATTGCACAAAAATGTAAATGTTCTTTTAACTACATTATTGGGCTCCTAAAGAAACATGGCAAAAGCAAGCACATATGTTGAACATTAAAATGTATGAAATAACCATGCCGACCATGAAGGATGGTCTGAATGACGTGTGGCTACAATTCCAGTTGCCGTGAATCCTGGACAGTAAGTAGGGCTGGACTATTCCTGGTAGCAAAGGTGGGGCGTGGCTTTCTTACAACATTCTCAGCTTAGGTGGTAATGAGTGTGGCTGCTCTAACACCCACCTCACAAACACTTCATAAAGCGTTTCATAGATCCACAACATAGGACCCACCAAGCTTCTCCCCACCTCAGGGAAGCTCACCCCACTCTTTCCTTGGGGTGCTCTGCTCAGCTTTACCAACCCCACTGATGCTTTGGGAAATGAGCCTCCACTTAACCTGTGTCTTGATTGAATTCATTCTTTCAAAGAGGACAAGAATCAAAGGACACACCGCCACTCCCATCCCCACCACCTATTCCCAATCCCCACCTCCCCACAACTTCCCCACAGTAAGAGAAATTCTGGGAGGAGAAAAGCTGGCCCAAAGGACTGGCCCAAAGGAAGATACAAGTTTCAACATGTGAGCTGTCCTCAGGACTGACCTCTGACTGTCAAAGTTCAGATACCAGGAGGCAAAGCCTTAGGACAGAGTAAAGGCCGGGGGGGGGGGGGGTTGGAACAAACTCTTTTTGCATAAAACAATGACCTCCAAAGAAATCCTAATACATTCAAACCTCTGTCAGCTTTCATTACAGAAAGTGGAGGGACTGGAGATGTACATAACAGTAAAGAGAGCTGACTGCTCTCCCAGAGGACCTGACCGTGAGTCCCAGCACTCACATAGTAACTCAGAAACGTCTGTAACTCCAGTCCAAAGGGATCCAATACCCTCTTTTTACCTCCTTAGGCATCAGAAATGCACATGGATGTACAGACATATATCTAAGCAAAACACCCATATACATGAAATGATAAAAGTAATCTAAAAATTAAATGTTCTAAACACTAGGATATTTTAAAAATGCAGGTAATACTTAAGAATATACTTGCATACACATATGGAAGAGAGGTCATGAATTTGAAAGAGAGCAAGAAGGCGATATGGAAGAATTTGGAAGAATAAAAGGATAGGGGGAAATGATGTAATTATATTAAAATCTCAAAAACAAAAAACCATTTCTTTAAAGTGTTTCCCTCTGGAGTTCCTACACAGCAGCCAACTCACGGTCGCTTAGGTGTTTGAATTCACAGTATTTATGTGGGTTACTTACATGTGACACCTGAAAAGGGAAATCTATTGAGTAATTACCAAGCTGGCCTCTGTGGATCATCTCTATTATTAATTGGTGGTGAAGGCCCAGCCTAGAAGTAGCCAGGGTCATTTCCTAGGTTTTGGTCCTGAACTGTGTTGTGTGGAGAGAGGGGCACCATTGAGAGAGGGCGCCAGTGTGGAGAACACAAGTTCACATTGCTTTCATTCTCTCTCTGCTCTTGACTGTGGACGCGATGCTGCTTCCAGCTCCTGCCGTGACCTCCCTACAGTGATGGACTGCAACCCGGGACTAGGAGCCAAATCAACCCAAACCCTTCTCCCTTGGGGCTGCTTTGGTTAGTTTTTGATCACAGGAATTGGGAAGACACATTTCTGTATCAGAAAAGAAGAAATTCTCAAATCAAACATCTCTGTTTCCATATTAAAGAAGTAGCTGAGGGCTCTGAAGGGATGCCATAGTCGGGCCTTTCTTCTCTTACATATCAGTATCAATATTCATTTTCAAAGCTGTAGTAATTACAAAATATCTATAGCAAGTTTTTTTTTTCATAGTGGTTCTGCCTTAACTCAACTCTGGCATATCCCATCTTCCAGCATTTCAACTTAGTGGGTGTAAAGTGGCATTTCATTTTAATCGTTTATCTAGACTTCCTGTTTTCTCTTTCATAGTGCTGGAGTTAGAACCCAGGACCTCACTTCCAGTCTCTAGGTCTTATGTATTTCTTGCTCATGTCTTTCTTCTCTTTAACCATCACCCTTTCTGTATCTTTGTATTTAAGAAGAGTTTCTTTTTTAAAAATATTTATTTATTTATGTATACAATATTCTGTCTGTGTGTATGCCTGCAGGCCAGAAGAGGGCATCAGACCTCATTACAGATGGTTGGGAGCCACCATGTGGTTTCTGGGAATTGAACTGACGACCTTTGGAAGGAAGAGCAGGCAATGCTCTCTCTTAACCTCTGAGCCTTCTCTCCAGCCCCTTAAGGAGAGCTTCTTATAAACTTAAAAGTTTTTGTGTTGTTGCTGTTTTTTTTTTAATCCATGGTGATAATCTCTGCCGTTGAGTAGAATCTGTTTAGATGTAGTGTTAACTATTACTATAGCTGGATTAAGACTAATTGGGAGGCTGGAGAGACTGCTTGATGGTGAGGAGTGCTTGCTGCTCAATCATGAAGATCAGAGTTGAGATCCTAGCACCTATGACAGGCAGCTCTCAAAGATCTAGAGCTCAGTATGAGAGATCCAAGCTATTTGTTTGGCCTCCCTGGGCACCTGAATACCTGTGGGCACACACACACACACACACACACACACACACACACACACACACACACACACACCAAACCTTTGGGACATAAAGACCACTGTTTTGGCTCCTTTTCCTCTCTACCAGGCATTAAAGCTAGGTCCTCATGCATTGTTGTCAATCATTCTAGCACTGAGCCACCTCCCAACAGCAACATTTATTTTTCTTTCTATCCCACTGGTTCTTTGGTCCTTTGTTTCTTCATTCTTACCTCATTCTAAATGGATTGTAAAAAATTTTAGTATTTTTGCATTGTCTCATATAGATTTTTAAAAATAGGAACTACTTTTAGTTGTAAAACTGAGATTTATAATAATAATCTTTAACTTATCAGGTTTACTTTTAAATAATATACTATGTAGAGCTCAATAAAAATCGATAAAAAAATAATATACTATGTCACAACACTGTAGAACCTTGTGACTGTGTCTTTGTATTTATACTCCAATCCTATGTATGGTCTCATATTTTACTTCTAAATGTGCAACAAATTTCATGACACTTGTTTATATTAGCCTTTGAGTAGTCTAATATCAGAGGAACACATAGATGACAGTGTAAAATGATAAAAATTAAAACAAAGAAAACTGTTTTTTTTCTTGTTTCATGGGATATTTGGGTTTGTTTGCTTGTTTGTTTGTAATTGAGACAAATTACAAACTGGCATCAAACTAAGAAGTAGCCTCCCTCGAGCTTCCAGCTTCTGGGACTACTACAGGTGTACACGAACATAGCAAGTGTGATAAATAATAGGCCAGGAAAGGCTGATATTTTCAAGGATAAAGGAAAATATCATTGATTCTTTCTATTGCTAGAAATATGAGAAAAAAATTAATGTAACTATTTCTTTTCATTATATCTAGTGTGACATGTTTTTATCTAAAGGGCGTCAGTTCCTAAAGTTTTATTCTGAAATACGCTTGGTAATAGCTCGGTAACTACCTCCTCCTCATTTCATCACCTTTGGTGCTGGGGATGAAACCCAGAGTCTCAGGAACCCAGGATTTTGTGCTGCTGAAGAGCTGGCTGCCCCTCCCACTCTCTGTTCTTCACTGTCGAGAGCAGGAAAAGATAGAAGACAGAAATTGTCAGACCACTCTCTGTTCCTGAAAATTTTTTCATTTTTTTTTCTTTTCTAGAATTCAAGAAGAAGAAGCGTAATGGCAGTATGGACAAAAAGTGAAGTTTATCTTGGATATCCTACATATAAATATGCAAAAGTACTAGATGTTCCAAAACTGAAAGCCATGCTAAACTTTAGCAAGAATGACCAAGTAGAAATGCAGTATGCGACTTACACGTGGCACTCTATGGAGCTTGCTGTGCTAATATCCTACTGCTCCCTCTGCACTACCACCAAAATCATTTTATTGCTGCTGTATAACGAGGATTCACCAAAGTGGATACTCCAGAACTTACAACTAGAGGTGCCCGTGGACAGAACATTGACCGCATATTTCCTTTACGCGGCCCCGCCGGATGTGATCCTGTGGGATGCCCACAGCGTGTACTATTTCTACAAAAACTTCACCATTAGTGGAATTTTAACAGCAGAGTCAGGAGAGATCAATCTGTCAAAGTTATCAGCTGGGAGCAAAATCCACAGCGTCAATACAGGTGAGGAGTTCTCAACTCTGCCAAAAGTATTCTGGGTTTCATTGTATTGATGTTCCAATATGTGGTGCCTTTGATAGCTATGGGTGTATATTTAGCCACCTACAGCTTAATCAGTTTTAAATTTGACCAGTGTTAGACTGTGATCCCATGTTGCAGGATGGTGGACTCAAAAGTTTCATTTCACTAGATTGGCAGATGCTAAGGGAGAAGTTTATTTATTTGTCAGGGTAGGAGGTACTGTGCTGTCTTTTGTTTTGTTTTGTTCTTTTGAGCAGGGCTCCTCTGTGTAACAATCCTGTCTGTCCTGGAACTCACTTTGCAGACAAGGCTGACCTCGAACTCTGAAAGTGTTACATTGTTTAATGTTCCGAAGGTTCGCACAACTGAGTACCTTGATCTGTAGCTTCATGCTGCAGTCCTACAAGCCAGCAAGGAACCAGAAATCAAGTTGCCAGCAGAATATGCTCCTCTGTAACCTGGAATTTGGGGAGGTGGTGTTTTCTCTTTGTTTTGTTTTTGCCTTTCCCCTTTGTAGGCAGAAACTGTTAGTTTCCGGGCCGCCCAGACCTGAATAATCACACAGAAACTATATTAATCACAACACTGTTTGGCCAATAACTTAGGCATATTTTTAGCTAACTCTTGCATCTTAAATTAATCCATAATTCTTGTCTGTGTTAGGCACATGGCTTAGTACCTTTCATCAGTGAGACATTCTCATCTACTTCCTCTGTGTCTGGGTGACAACTGCAGATCGAGCCTTTGCTCCTCCCAGAATTCTCATATTCTGGTTGCCCTACCTACATTTTCCTGCCTGGCTACTGGCCAATCAGCATTTTTTTAAACCAATACAAGTGACAAATGTTTACAGGGTACAAGACCATTGTCCTACAGTAACCTGTAGTAATGAGAGAGAGAGAGAGAGAGAGAGAGAGAGAGAGAGAGAGAGAGA